TGGGATAACCGCGAAGGACGACGGGATCGCAGGGGATGAACGCGGCGGGCACCGCCGCCCTTCGCGGGAGATCCCGTGAAATGGAAGGGCCCTCCGCTCGGACGGCGTGGAGGCTGAGAAGGGCGCCTGGTGGGGAGGCCGCGAGGGCCTGCTCCGCCTCCGCGCGGCCGCGATGGAGGATGAAACGCCCCCCTCCCTTTCCCACCCCCACCCCTTCCTCCGGCAAGGAGAGGAGATAAAACAGCTGAACGGCGTCGGGGAGACCCTCGAGGAGGGGGCGGAGCGCCTCCCGCGGCAGCCCGGCCTCGTGGGCGAGTTTAGCGACCGTTACGACCCCGCGATCGCGGACGAGGGCAAGAAGATCTGTCGTCGACATTGTGGAAGCTGCCGGAATCTGAAGGTGGATCGCGCGATCGAGGGGATTGGGATCGATCGGCCTCTTAAAGGTGTATGGGATATTACTAATCGCAGTGAAAAGGAGAAGGGATTAAGGATATACTGCTTTACACAGACATCTTTACGCGAGCGCACACACACATACACACAAAAAAGACAAATGAACATCAAAGATGCATTTATTTTACCTTTACTTTTTTCATACAAAAACTTATTCTGCTTTAAGTGATCTGATACGGTAATGCTTTCTATAAATTAGGCATGTTTATAATAACAATAATAATAATAATTTTAATCGTCGTGTGCTCACTGAAAAGTCGCGCTCGCGGTGGATCCCTCGTTTACCAGGTTTGTGTAAAGCTGCACCATCAGGCCGGCGAACATCTGCGCCTTCGCCGGATCCATCGCCAACGACCCCGACATTTGGCCTGCCGCAACTGTCGAGATGAGCTTCACGAACTCGAACGCCTTAACGGGGCTCGAAAAAGCATCGGAAAGCGTCGTGTGCAGCGCTTTGCACATGGTGCGAAATGTCGAATGAATTCCCTCTGCAAAAGAAGCGGGGTTCGCGACGTCGGAGTCCAGGTAAGCATCCACCATCTGGGCGAGGTATTGGTTGCAAAGGGAGAGACAGCCGTTGATCGGATCCGCGTTATCCTTCGCGTTATCCCCGATGTAGAGGTTAATCTGGGTATCAAGGCATAGGCAACTGGCGGCCTTCTCAAGCATACCGGAGATCCGCGCACGGCGTTGCTCCACCGACGCAAACTGGCCCGCCTCCACGAGGAAGGTCTTCACCGGTACGAGGGTGTTGCCCACGGGATGCCAATTTCCACCCATAAGGCTGCTGATCGCCATAAACGTGGCGAGGTCGGCAGCCCCAGGGTTGCTCCTATCGACCGGCCCACAAAGGGAGTCGAAGAAAATCTTCACCAGCGAATTCAAGTCTATAGACATCGTGTAATTTGAACCAACCTTGAAATTGAGTCTTTTCCTGTTTGTGTTTCTTTTTTTATATATATTAGTATTATTAAAATTCACAATCGTGGTATATAATATGGAAAGGTAGTATATTATAAATACAATACTATGCTTTTTTAGATTTGCGAGAGTTAATAAATAATAAGGATTATGTCACCGCTGCAGCATTCCAACGCGTTCAAACTTTCATCTTCACATCTTTCTCAAAAATACACGAGATTATCTCGAGGAAGTAAAACGATTTTAGTCATTTCCACAAATCAGGATATACTTGAGTAAATAATACAATTGGAGTATATTCAGAAAAATGAATATTTCAATAGGATCATAGCCTCTGTTACTATGATCGCCAGCAAGGGTCTAATTCATGCTATCTAACGAAGCGTACCTCGTTTGGAAGCAGAGTGGCGTGCTGTGCTATCAAAGATACATCATATGAAGCTTTACCTTTCCTATAACTTTTTCTTCTTATGCGAAGTGAACTCTTCACACATCAAGGAATAAAAAGAATCAATCGTTGCATGCTTACTACTCTTGATACAAGCTAAATAAAGCCTTTGAGTTTGAGAGGGAAATCAATATACAGCCCGCGGGTAACACAGCACTAAATGAGTGATTTATGGATTGAGTTAAAAACCATCGCTCAGAACTTACATGTACGACCGCTATGGCATCGCCATCCGTTTTGGACAGGCATATACAACGAAAAAAATGAGCAAATAATAATATGTATATATATGTAAATATCATTATATAAACAGTTGTAGACCACTAATCATCGCTCAAGGTAATATCTTCCTCTGCAATTCGTACTTCGTCGTAGTCCGGTATACTAAACACCTCTTCTTTTGGATACTTCTGTAGACAATTTTCCATGATAAAAACAACCTTGTTCAGACGCGTTTGTGTTTTTCTAAACACAGAATCATAGATGATACGGAAAACCGCCGTATCAATCCTCTTTCCTACAGATTCGAGAAGGGGGAAGGGATTCTCCTTGCGCGATTCGTATCGCTTTAGCTTTTTGAAGGTGGATTTGCGAAATCGGCAGATTTGGATACGGCTCGCGTCACCGGAGAATGGATTTTGCTCTGGTTCATTGTGCGAATGAAAGGTAGACCCATGATCCAAATAAGCATACTTGGCGAGGCCGTAAATGCGATCCTCCGTCTTCATCATCGAACACTTCGTATTCGCGCTACATCCACCATAAACAAAGCAGTTATGCCCTTCCATTCCACGATCCGTGTTTCCTATTATAAAGTCGAATATAAAACGATCCTGCAGTTCGCCAATCGAGCGCAGACGGGCGCGTTTCATATCTTGAAAGATTGGGTGTCCTGGTACGTAGTACTTCTTCTCGAAACTCTCATCGTATCGAAACGGAAGAGCGAGAAAGGTATCGAGTAACTCGTGCACATCGTTCATCCAAACTTGCACGGAAACCATCGCACCCATTGGCTGTGGTTCGCGCGCTGTGATGTTTTCATAACCGTAATATTCACAACTCACAAATTTTTCTCTGGTGAAGTTGTACAACACAACGTGGCGATGAAACCACTGCGAGAAAAGCGGCGAGTGTGAGGCGGCGGCGCGCATAAAATCGAGCGGAAGCGGGGTGAGAACAGTGATCGGAATGCGAAAGTAATTGAGCACCCGATCGTACGCGTGCGCCGTACTTTCGCTAACCGCTTCATAAACGAAATTGTATTGCGATATTTTTGCAATCGCCTTGAGGTTACCGTGCGCGTAGTGGATTTTCAGTTTGATCGTCCGCGCTTCTAAAAGCTTGGATGACATGGCTTGCAGATACCGCATATTATTGAGATTTACGAGGTATTTCTGACAGAGCCGATCCCGTTCGACGGAAAATGAGGCATTTCGTGGATCACACGCCTGCCAAAGGGCCGGATCCTCCACAAAGTTAGGATCATACGGCAAGGCGACGTACGGCCCTTCCTCAATATCCGTGAAGTGCTGCGGGTTCTGCTCCGGATTTCCCCCAGGGGTTTCGTTTAAGAGTTTCAGATAGAACGCGTCCAACGCTTTCGGAAAAGCTTGGGCGTCTTGGATGATAGCCGAATTCCCCGTGGGCTGACGAGACCCCTCCTCAGGCCGCAGGTTAACCGGCTTCTTTTTCACCGAATCGTCTGGCAAGGCTTTCACCGTCGATTCCACACCCATAGGTGCAGTTTTACGGCGTTTGTAATGAACCCGCGGTTTCGTTTCAACGGGGTAGACTGGGGCTTCGAACGTCAAGGGTGGAGGAGGTGGGAGGACTCCTCGAGGCCTCTCTTGGGGATTCTGGGTCCCCCATAAGCGATTTCGACGTGAGGGCGTGGGGCTCCCACCGCTGTGGTTCAGCGTGATTTCGTTTAGAGGTTTATCGAGTAAGAATTTCAACCTTTCCTCTTTCGAGCGTTCTCTCGAGGGGTTGTCGATTGAATTTGTTGTGAAAAATAAATGAAAGAATAGAAAAAAAGCCAAAAGCAACATTCCAATAAGAACTAACTTTATTCTGTGGCGACTAAGTTTACATCGACATCTTGTATGAGTTCTATATTTTCTTCCGCTTATCAACATGAAAAAAAGAATCGATATTATTAAGAGACAAAAAGAAATAAACAAACTATGTGAATAGAAATAGTATTTTTTTTCTTTCTAAGTAAGTAGGTCATCCAAAATGTTCATTCAAAAACAAAAAAGGGTGGAAAAGAAGAAAAATAGGAAATAGATGAGGGGAACAGGTGGCTCCCGCCCCTTTACCCAATCCAGTAAAGACATTCATCCCTTCTCGCCCCATCCATTGTCAGTCCACTCACAACTTTATTTCAGAGTTTTTTTTCTTTTAAAGCGTTTCTTCCGGGTTCTCTTTCTTTACCTCCGCAGGCTCTGGCTTTGTCTTTTCATGCCTACCCGCGTCTTTTTCCTTGGCAGTTCGCTTTTCCTGCCGCAGCTCATCGCCTATTATCTTTTCCAAGGATTTGAGTTCGGCATTAAAAGCTTCCCTTTCCGTCGGCTCCGGGACGAATTCGGTTCGTTTTCGCTTAATCCCGTATTTGAGCATCTGCGTAGGGCTCAGTTTGGGGGAAGGTCCGGAGGCTTTTCGCCCGTTTTTTTCCTTCCCATCGCAGGCATACGACCAGTGCGCGGTCGAACCGCAATACTGGCATCGTTTCTCGCTTTTCCCTTCGTGACGAGGGATGCTGTAGCCTTTTGGAGGGCCGCTCTCCCCGTACATCGTAAGTGGGAGGAGGGTCTCACAGCAAAGAATACTATCCTCGACAAATCATGTGGATCATGTGGGTATATAACGTGTAAAATATTTAAAAAAAGTACGAAGAGAAGCATAGATGGAATTCAAGGGGTCAAAGAAACCCCAACATACCAAAAATAAATAAAAGTAGGAGTCATACCCATTTTGGCTACACAACATGCGCCCAGATTTTCCGCATCGAAGCCCTCGTGCGTTTATTCACCTTGTTTTATGATACTAACAACAACCACAACAATACACAAGGCACGTTATATTTACTTTTTGATTGAATTTCATATCGATACATCGTTTTGAAAAAGAAAACATCAGTAAAACATTCCACCGTTTCTATCGATTTGGATATATATATATATATATATATAGAGAGAGAGAGAGAGAGAGAGAGAGAGAGAGAGAGAGATAGATATACATGTCATTATACGACTTCAACTCTCTCCCTCATCCCCCTTCCCCCCCCTTTCGCTGGAATCTCGGACGGGATTCAGATCTCGGAGGAAGCGGGCTATTCCTCCAGCACGATTGAGACGCCGGCGAGGATGAAATCCTCGGCCGCCAACTCCGACTCACATTGCAGCTCGAAATCGCACAAATAATCCTCCTTGGTGCTGTTCACGTAGACCGGCACGGTGACGGAGGTCGCCATCACGGGCGTCTCGACCATCCACGCGAGAAAGGCCTTTTTAATGGGGAAAAACGCGGCCTCATCGGGGGTCGTGATCGGCTGGAGGACGTCCGCGCTGTCGAGAACGGCCCCCTGCAGCAACAGCCCTTCGAGGGCCACTGCCAAGGCCGCCTTAGGGGGCGGTGCGGAGATCGTCGCGACGAGTTTGAGATCGACGAGCGGGTGATGCAAGACGTGTGCGGTTTCCTGACGAAACGCGTTCAAAAACGTCTGCGGGCGAAACCAAAACGTGAGGTCG